TTTTTGGTTTTTCGAGATAGGGTTTCTCTGTAGCTTTGGTGCCTGTCCCGGAACTAGCTCTTGTAGACCAGGCTGGCCTCGAACTCACAGAGATCCGCCTGCCTCTACCTCCCGAGTGCTGGGATTAAAGGCGTGCGCCACCGTCGCCCGGCTCCTACTTACATTCTTTAGAAATAAAGCTGTAGAAGTATTTTTTGCTGATCTTCATTATTGAACATTATTTATGTAATATGTGCTTGGGCAGAGCATACTTTATTTCACCCAGTTTGTAAGTCTTCAAAAGAATTACAGATAACTTGGTTGTGTGTGGTTTTTTAAATCATGGTTTCTCTGTGTGGTCCTGGCTGTCCTGGGATTCACTCTGTAGACCAGGCTGGCTTCAAATTCACCTGCCTCTACCTCCCTAGTTCTGGGATTAAGGGCATGTGCCACCGCCACCAGGCCATAGATGAAAAATTAAAAAAAAAAAGAAATCCATAGAGAACACTGATCAATATCAATTTATTTTCAAATGACTTATATGAATATATGAATGTAGAAATAGTACATAAACACAAATAAAGTCTCTTTAATCTTTTTTATATCTTTTTTTTGAGACTCTTACTATGTATCCCTGGCTGGCCTCACACTTTGCCTGTCTCTGTCTTCCAAGTGATGGAGTTAAAGGTATGTGCCACCATACCCAGCCTCTTACTTGTTTTGAGCTCTGGGTCCCAAATACTTCCTTTGGTGGTGGTCTTCAAACGTTGGGTTTCATGGAAAAAGTCACTGAAAGAGAGCGGAAAATACCCAAGCCATATTATTGTATTGCTGGTTACTGTTTATGTCTACTATCTTTAACATCGTTCAAAATGGATTTGGGAGATGTTAGCAACTTCAATTAATATTTATTTTCCGACAGTATCTTTTAATGATATTTCAGTGGAAATGTATTAACTTGTTATAACTTTGGTCTAACTTGGGATCATTAAATCCCTGTTTTAGCTCTTCTTACAGACAGTTTCATCATCTTATCATTTTTGGCACAAAACAAACTATGTTTTATTCAGTTTACAAAGAAGATGGATTCTCTTGATGTAAATAAGAGACTGGAAAGACTCTCAGCCTTGGATTATAAGGTAGAAATTTCAGTGTATGTACTCATGTAGTCATTAAGGCACACAAGAGCTTTGCAGGAGTTAATGTTATGGTTTTTACTCTTGAACGTTTGTGGATTTCAGGAAGCCTGAGTCTGCCTTGTACCTTTTCTGTGGTGTAGGCCTAAGGGTGGCGTATTTGAGCTTATGGAGGGCAAAGCTGGCTTTCATGCCGATGTTAGTATGTATTCCATTTTCACGTTCCAGTAAGTACCCATATAGCTACTCTGGTTTTCAGTCTAAGAAAGGAAAGAAGGAAGGAGGGTCTTTCAAAGATTAATAGAAAATATAATAAGTTGTGGGAAGACCCTCACATCCCACCCCAACTTTAGCTAGAGGAAATACAAAAAGAAATTTCTTTCAGAGTGCTAGTTTCTCTCCCTCTGCTAACTCCAGGTAATTTGTTTCCCCATATCATGGACTTTACATCTGTTAAGGCAAGATTTTTATTTTAAATGATGTGCTTAAATTTTCCCCCTTACATTTTAATGCTGGGAAGGCATGCTCTCTGCAAGGCTGAGCATCTAATACATTTTCCAGGCTGTTTCAGTTCAAGGCATCTTTTCAGCAATGACTTGTGTTTGCAAGACTGACCCAGCCTCTGTGACGTGGATTTGAGCCAGTTCACTGTTCAGTGGGAACAGAGCTGATATACAGCTGTCTTTAAAGTGATGCACATATATGCTATCCTCAAGTGTCTATAAAGAGGCACAACAGCCCTGTGGCTTGTAATTGATGTGTTTGCTTAAAAGCTGGTTTTTTGTACCTAACTTTCTGTACTTTGGAATTGTTATTTATGATGATTGGAGTACTAATGGCAAAAGAAAGATATAATTTGTTTAAAAGAAGCATCTTTTCTTATAAGAAAGAGTTTAATAAAGATATAATTTGTTTAAAAGAAACATCTATTGTTATAAGGCAGAGTTTAACTTACTTTTTAACATGGAAAAAGTTACCTGAAATCAGTTTTTCATTGTGATAATAAAATATGATCTCGCTTGTATGCCAGATTTGTAGAGCTCCTATAAAATTTGCATGATAATGATTTTCTCTACTTGGCAATTTATGATATTCATGTATTCTATTTAGTCAGTCAAAAAATAAAAGTTTCCCTTTAATGTTATTACAGCATTGCTTTCGTCCAAAGTGGTTAAACTAGATTGATTTTAAAATGTTTTTTCCTAATGTTGGTTTTTAAAAATATATCATTATTTCTTAGCTAGTGCCATTTATAGTGTTGTTAACCTTATTATGTAAAATCCTGTATGACTAGCTCCTTTTGTTTCAGGTGTGGTAGGTAACTGAGTGACGTCTTCTGGACTAAAAGATGGTAGCTAATGAGACTAAAGAAAACTGCAAGGGTGTCAGCAGCATAAGAAAAAATATAAAAAAATAGGCCTTCTCTTTGGCGCTATGTTGCTTCAGGAGGGGAATTAGCACATTATTTCTGCCTTTGGACTTGGGAGACTTTGGCATTTCACATCATTGCGACACAATAGAGGAATACGTCCCCTTCTGGGAAGACCATGGGTTTCATTTCTTCCTTCAGCGTTTGAAACATGCAATATTTGAAAATAGTGAGTGCCACCATTTCTCAACTGGAAGTGTAAGAAACTTATCCATGTGTCCTGCTCTTTTGAGCGTCAATGCAGAACACCAATGCCATTAAAATCCACAGGAAATGTAAAATCTCAAACAATTACTGCTCTGCATTGTGCAAAAACTGAATGTGCAAATCACTTCTTTTTAACTTACTTTATCGTCTAGAAATTTATAGCATGCCTACATGGCAAGCTAGATACCTGAATATGATGTACATGTGTCTTTAAATATTTAGTGATTATAGTATTTCTCTCAAATAAAAAGAAAGTTATAATAATTTCATTAAAACTTAACTATAAGTATTTCTACTTAAAGTATAAATGCATCTGTGTCCATTTGAATTTTAGAACAAAGACTTACATCGAGTATTTATAATTCTGGTTTTCTCTCCAGTTATGCCATAATTTAATTATTTCACACTGAAATAATTTTGACTAGAAGAATTTCAGGATAAATATCCAGAAATGTTGACCTTTAACAAGCTTTCCTGTCCACATTTTAAAAATCCAATTCAGTTTAACAGTTGAGGGACAGCGCAAGGAGTTAAATGTTTACTAGGAGAGAACAACACTGGTAATTACTTTGATTTTGGTTCCTTTTGATGTGTATTCAGAGGATGAAGAGGTCAATAATATTATGGCCATGCAAATAGAAAAGAGTTCCTTTTGACCACGTTGGAAAAAAAATAGCAGAGGATTATTAAAGCATTAACCTTGATTTTAATGGCCTTGGTTGAGTGGTGAGATCACAATTTGGATGAGCCTGATTATTTACTAAATACAATACATAAATGCAGCGGGTTCTTAACACCCATTGCACTCTGGCATTATCGCATTACTGCCATCCTTTGTTGCCTTGCAGACAGGAATATGAAAGCAATCTGTCATGTAGTGAGACTGGCTCCAGAAGCATTTCTCTGATAAGAAGACCCCCTGCCCTTTGCTAGTGTCTGGTCCAGTAGGCTTAGCCATGCGCTTAATCCCCAGAAAGTGGTTCGATTATTGCTGACCAGCAATGGCAAGATAGTTTTTTTTCCTTCCAAGCTATCAACCTTCCATTAATTCCTTAAGCAGAAATACGGTGCAATCTATATTTCCTTGGCATGTGTCACCCAGATGGTGCCGTGCTTATGTTTTCAAATAACCATGTTCCAAAATAACATAGTTTGAATAATAAATTCGGCAAATCCTTCCTAAGAAAGAGAAGTGTAATTCTCAGAAGCTGCATAAACTTTCACGTATGATGCCATGGCTTATCCCTTTTATGCAGAATATGTGTGTATACATCTAATATATTCTTTTAAGAGATATTTGCCTCGAGTTGTTTCTCCCTTTTATTGTTGTCAGCCATTGTCACCGTGTTATGTCTTAGATAGTCGCGAGACACTCTTGGTCGGCAGCGCCACACCTGTCATTTCATAGAGCTGGTCCTGAACCCTCTGTGCAGGTCGATGCTGTCAAGCAACCATGACTGCACATTTTGTATTGATTGGAATTGTTACATCTAGTTCCTCCCTAACTCACATTTCTTTTTCTTCTTTCCTCTGCTAAAAATTGGGAAAATTTTGAACATATGTCTTTTTTATATATGTGTCAAAGGAATTTGGTACATCCTGACACCCTCATAAGCACACGTGGAAGATGCATATTTACTTGTGTTTTTTACATTTACAGATGCTTTGATTTTTTGGAAATACTCAGATGATTTTTCATCCTTTAAAATAAATGTTTTCATATGTTTTTTGTCTGTTAACCATTAGGTTTCCTATTATGACATACCTGGCCCAGCTCACAGGACACTAGAGCGTCGCTTAGCTATCAATTCCTCGGAGGATGTAGTTGTTTGCTGGTGGCCTCTGGCCAGTGATGGCGCTTGGCCTTGGACTCCAATCTCTTCTGAGAAGGACAGAGCGAATCTCCTGCTCCTGGGTTTTACTCAAGGAGGACTGCAGGTAAATCTAAAACAAATGCATCCATTTTAATGAAGTGCAAATAAAATAGTATTACTGGTTTTCCTATTCTGAAATATGTGTGAATACATTTTAAGCCTGTAATTTATATTTTCAAATATTCAAAAGGAAATTGAATATCAAATGAGATCCTAAAATGTGGCGTAGCTGGAGCATAAGCAGACAATTCCAGATTGGCTGAGACGGTGCAGTGACTGAGGGCACAGGCTTCTGGGTTCACATGCTGCTTCTGCCCCTGCCTCGCTGTCTGCTTGAGTGAGTTACCAGCCTCTAGGTGCTGCAGTTTCCTTATTTGAAAAGTAGAGTTAAACTAGTGAAAATGGTGTATTCTGTATAGCAACACGTACACAGCAAACTCACGATCACTGTGGTCGTGATCACCAGTCCTGTTTGTTGTTGAGGATTTCATACCTGGAAAAGCCATGCTACCAGCTACCTTAGCAAGCACCAGTCCAAGGCCCGTTTTGTGTAAGCCTGTCATGTGATGGCATATCACCAGTGGGGCAAGGGGGACTTCAGCGCAGCGTTCTCTCCAGGGCCTGACTGCTGATGGCAGCCCAGGAAAGTGGTCACATAGGCATCCTCCTGCTGTCTGTTCCCAGCAGGGCTGTGGTCACTTACTTATCCACATGATGAACCTGTGTGTGCTTTTAGTTTGTACCTGTGTAAACAGAAACTTTTGGCTTTCTTTTTTAATAATGAAAGAGTTCTCTTCTTCTTAGTTTTAGTTTGAACTGGTGGAGCAGATCTATGCCAGTGTTTTCCTCTAAACCTTCAGACTTTAAGAAGTCTTTCTCAGCGAGTGTGCTGGGAGGCAGGGAGCCGGTCTATGCGCTCTCTTCCCCACCTGCATAAACTTGCAGTCTTTTGAGTTTTGTTTATTTTGGAGACTGGGCTTTGTTACATAGCCTAAAACTCCTCATCCTCCTGCCTCAGCCTCTTGGTTGTTGAGTTTGAAGGCATGTGCTATCAGGTCCAGCTTTAGGCTGCCTTTGAATATTGAAGGGTCCTAGTCCTTTATTTCTGATATGTATGTGTTCTTTAATAACTGGACTTCCCCAGTTCTTCTGCAGTAAATGTTCCCAGTTCTGTGTTCTGGTTTGGGTAGATCACCTAGTCTAACTGGCCTTAGTTTTCTTATTTTTAAGATAGTAAGTTCTCCCCAGGCCCCTGGTGGCTCTAAAGAGTGCAGCTATGGGAGCTGAAGCACACATCTGCTTTGGTCACTTCACTTAAGTCTTCAGTATATGATGAACCCAAGCTCAGCCTGACCCAAAATGATCTTGACCTGCCTTCCCAGCGTTGTTTTCCTCTATAAATATAGTCCTGGCTGAATTTACCCACCGACTCATTATTCCCCATTTCCTGAAGTAATGGTGTTTCAGTCTGAATTAGCCAGTGGCTTTGAGCATGACCTTGCTGAGCACTGCGTTTCGTCCCAGATGGTAGGAATAAGAAACTATTTTGCCTTCAAGGACCTTGGTTATTTTTTTAACCAGTGAGAGACAATTATGAAAACGTTGAGGTACATGGGAGTGTCAGTTTGCTATAGGTGGAGTGCGTGTAAGCTATGGTGGGAGCCAACGCCGAGTGGTTGATTCCACCCAGATAGTGAGAAGATTATGAAAAGGCTTTACAGTGTGCTCAAAGATGAGGTGGACACCCAGTTTCACTTGCTTTTATTCTAGATTTAACTTCAAGCCTTTATTAACACTGGAGTGACTTTGCTAGCCATTTCTCCCATCTGAAACAGTATCAAAGGAAATTACATAAACTAGATTTTGATGTTATGATTCCGTCTTTAAAGAGTTGTTTGAGTCTCTTTGTGGGGGGTGCAATTCTGTTTTGTTGAGTTGCTTCCATAGTTTTTATGAAAGTGTCCACTTTGTGGAAACATCTGATCTATTTTTAATGAATGTGTATATAGAATGTGAGTATCACTTTTTGTGTTACCCGGGATTTATCCCAGAACCTCTGTCACTAGATAAGCAAGCACTCTTCTGCATCCCAAGGCCACTCTCTTTCACTTCTGAGATTCTATTGCATGCAATTCATTTTCTCAGCAAGGGCTTTTGTTTGAGCTATTGTCCCTTTCAGTTGCGCTATCAAAATCCAACTATTCAAAAGAATTATAATTTTTTTCCAGGAACTTTTGTGAATTTCACTATGTAAAAGGTAAATCAATGTTTTTAGGGGGAAATACTTGGTTTACTTTTTCATGTGAAGACTTAATCTTTAACAGGAACATTTTGGCATGTTATAAGCTAAAGCCACCAGTGGCTGAAAGTAGTTTCCTTTTCTGTAGCAACATCAATCTTTTTAAACACATCATCAGAATCATAAGTCAATATGCTTTTAAGCACCGAAATTAGAACCAAAAGGGGAGATCTTCATAGAGAAGAAATTGAATAATCATTGAATCTGTTAAACTTTAGAATTATAAAAACATTCCCATCTAGCCCCCTCCCCCCAGATAATAAGCTTTTATCTGGACAGTATCAGAATCCTAGAAGAGTGTTCCTAGCCCAGTAGTGCATCGCAGCCGCCTGCAGAGCTTCTGAGACTGGGCTGCCACACTCCTTCCATCAGAATCTCCGGTCAGGAGGGGGCATCAGTAATCTGCTTCAGGTTCCCTAGGTGATCTCATGTTCATCCAAGATGAGACCCACTGCTTTACAGCGAACTTAAAAAACAAAAACAAAAAACCCTGAAGCCATCTTTTTTGCATAACAGACCGTGGAAAGGATAAAGCCCACATACTGAAGCAAACGAGAGTTTTAACAGTAGAGTCTAAGTAGAAAATTGGCTTACCAAGCTGCTAAAAAAAAATAAGAAAAGAAAATAAAGGAAACAGAAATCAACTCTCTGTGACCAAATTATCTGTCCTTTCTGAGGGAAAACATTTTAAAATTTATTTTATGGATATTTGAAAATGCCTGGCCCAGTTTCATACCACGGAGTTCTAAACAAATAGTGTGCATCTTAACTAGAAGCGTGGAGCAGTGAGTTCTGTAGTCTAAGGAAGATGGCTGCTAATAGTATAGAAAAAGGAACTTTGATCAGTAAATCCATTAGGCCCCTGTTGAAGGGGCTCGGGAGACGACTCAGTTGCTGTTCAGCATAGGGACCCAAGTTTGATCCACAGGGTCAGGTAAGAAGCCAGATGGGATGTGTGTGCTGGGGGGTTGGGGACAGCAGGACCCTGAGGCTCTCTGACTGGCCAGCCAGCCTCTGGCAAGCACCATTGGCTAGAGACCCCAGCAAAAGAGCAAGGTGGATGCCTCCTGAGGAACCACACACAGCACAGACCTTCCACCTCCCCGACACACCCACACATAGGCACCTGTGCGCATACATGAGTCTGCACATACCTATGTAATTCATTTTAGCAGTTTATATGTGGGTTATCATGTGTTACATTGATGGAGGAAGGTAATTGGTTAATTATAATAAACCAACTGCTTGGCCTCATAGCTTAGAACATAGAGGAAGTGAGGTCAGACTCTGCTCTGCTCCCGGAGAGACTCTGCTCTCCGGAGCACAGACACCATGCTCCCAGGATGGACGGAGGCTAGAATCTTCCCGGTAAGCGCACCTTGGGGTGCTTACACACATTATTAGAAATGGGCTAGTCCAGGTGCGAGAATTAGCCTGTAAGGGCTAGAGTTCATGGGCCAAGCAGTTCTTAAATGAATACAGTTTGTGTGTTGTTATTTCGGGCATAAGCTAGCAAGCGGCTGGGGTATTGGGGACGCAGCCCCGCCGCTCCTATTTCAACATTACATGGTAACATTGCCATTTAAATTTTTTACTCCTACTTTATTTTGAAAAGTTTTTGCCATTTTGGTCTGCTGTATACATTCGCTTTGATGAGCACCTCATGACAACTTACTCTTCCATTTTATATTTGCACGGCCGTCTTAGCTTTTTAGCTGTGCGACTTTGAGACTTCTTTCTACCTGTGGTGCTTGTTATTCTTTTTTTAAAAATGCTGCAAGATCCCCGCGGCTGTAGGCAGCAGAAATGCTGTAGGTCCCAAATGGTGGTGGCGGGCCATGTGGCGGCAGACAGCGGGCCCTGGGAGCAGCCAGTCCCAGGCAGAGAGCTGCTGGTCTCAGAGCGGTGGTGGCGCGGTGGTGGCGGGCCATGTGGCAGCAGGCAGTGGGCCCCAGACAGAGACGGCTGTTGGTCCCTGAGCAATGGCTGGTCTCAGGCTGGGAGACACATGGCGGGCGGGCGGGCAGGAGACAGAGACATGGATAGACACGACATGCAGGGTGAGGTTGAATGTTTATTCAGGGAGTTATGGAGGAGGAAGGGTGAAGGGGGGGGACAGAGAGAGAGGGAGAGAGAGAGAGAGAGAGAGAGAGAGAGAGAGAGAGAGAGAGAGAGAGAGAGAGAGAGAGAGAGAGAGAGAGAGAGAGACAGAGAGAGAGAGAGAGAGAGAGAGAGAGAGACAGAGAGAGAGACAGAGAGAGAGACAGAGAAAGGGGGAGCAGAGAAGTGGGGAGAGAGGCAGAAGCGAAGCTGCCTCTCCGAGAGGAAGAAGGAAGAGAGAGCGAGCTGAGGCCAGAAGCTGAAGATCAGCCTGCCTCAGCGGATGGGGGAGGGAGTGGGTGTGGTTTGTCTCTTAAAGGGACCAAAACCATAACAGTGCTAGCATCACAGTCTGTGGAGAGACCACCTGAGCGTGCCCCCGTAGTCACTGCGGTCACAGAACGTGTCAGACCTGGTAGATAAACCTCACAGGCCTATGCTTTTCCTATGAGAGGTTTTGTTGTTTGTGTTTGTTTCTTGCCATTTGTTTGAAACAAGGTCTCATGTGGCCCAGGCTATTCTTCAGCTTCCAATTGCCTTGCCTCTGGCTTTGATGCTGGAACACAGGTGTGCACCGCCAGCAAATGAAGCATTATTTTTGTGGCAAGTTTTAAAGGGCAGCAGTGACTGATGGGAAAGTGTTTGTGTCCCACTATTAATATACT